GAAACCCAAGGAGGGGTCGCTATGAGTCAGATCTGACTCCACGGCAGTGAGTTTGGTTTTTTTTGGTTCCTCTCCTTATTCAATTCAAAGTCTGTTTCTTCACTAGAGAGCAAATGCTTAAGGACAGAATGGATCATTCTCTTTTTGAATCCATGTTTCTGCAAGTGGAGCTTGGGACATGGTCAACACAACGTAATGCACTGCTGTCCAGTTGGATCTGACTCATAGTGACCCCTCCTTGGGTTTCTGAGGTGGTATCACTATGGAAGTAGGTTGCCCAATCTTCCTTCCGAGGCACATAATAGGTGCTCCATAAAGGCTTGTTGAATGAGACGTGTGATTTCATTAAGAATGATTTTGAAATTAAGTCAAGGATAGAATACTCCCCCCCCCCAACACACACACCCAGGAAAGAGGAGTCATTTCAAATGCTCAAGAAATGCTGGAAAAAATTGGGATAGGAGAATAAGGCCACTAGGTCATTGGTGACCTTTGATAGAGGGCAGTTTGTGTAAAGCAGCAGAGATGGAAACTTGATTGCAGGGAGTGAAGGTAGGGAATAGAGAGGAAATCCATGCAGCTGGTTTCAATTGGAGAAGTGGGATAATGAAAGTAAGGAGAAAAAGGCAGAACGTTTAAGACTAGAAGAAAAAAGATGTGTTATAGAACAAAAGGTCCAGACTATTAAAATAAAGCAGAGGTATTTATTGAGGAATAATACAATTCACAAACTGGGCAGTACCTTGTAAGAGTATGAACTGCTCTGAAGCATGAAGGGAGAGGTGTGTGTTTACATGGAAAAATGTGTAATCCTTGTCTTTTCCCATGAACCAAAAGATAGGGATGGCAGGACAGGATCAGGCCTCTTCTGCCCTCAGCCTCTGAGGCCATGTAACTCCAGAGAGACTTCTGAAGGAGCCCTCTCAACTAAGTGAAGACCTTTCAAGAAAAGGAAGATAAGATGTTTACTATAGTTACTATGCTATTATACTTGTGGTGTATTATAGTTGGGAGCTCTGGTGGTGTAGTGCCTAAGGCATTTGACTGCTAACCAGAAGGCTGGCAGTTCAAACCCCCCAGCCACTCCCAACTTCCCTAGGGATTGCTCTCCTTGGAAACCCAAGGAGGAGTTGGAATGGACTCCTGGACAGTGAGTTTGTTTTGGTATGCTATAGTTACCAGAAATTGGGTGGATCCTGATCACAAAAGAACTGTAAACAAGTTCTCTCTGTTGTAAAGAAACTCTAAAAAGTAAAAACATAGGAATCACAATGAAACACACCTGAAGTGAAATAAGGAAGGGGAGTGTGAGACGGCCACATGATTATAGTCACAAGGTAGGTAAGTGATCACCCTTTTTCTGACCATCAGCAGTCTTATTTTGGAATGTAAGCTGCACAGGCATTCTTGATAAACATCTTTGACAAGCTTTTCTTCCACATTCTTGACCCCTACCCTTATTTGCTAAGGGTAGTTAAATTTTTACAGTAGTTAGCTGTAGGTCAAAGCAGAAGTAAGGCTGAAATGGAAATGGAGCCCAAAGTAAGATAAGTCTAATCTGAACCTGGGTCAGACAGTTTAGTTATGCCAAATATGGGAGATGCTATTGGATCAGTTTTGGGGGCTTTGCTTACACATTCCTCCCTCTTGACCAAGCCTCTGCTAGGTGGCATTGATCATCCACAATGCAGTCAGCTTTTTTCTGCAAGGACTTTTAGTCATATCGTGAGCTATTAGGAATCTTGAATCTTCTCAATCATTAGGCATTTCTCTTCACCTTGCCATGCTAATAGACCTCATCGTCAAGGTTAGATGATTTTCATTGGGATTTGTGTTGCAAACAGGGTCACAATAAAGGAACAATTTGGAGTGTTAAAAGGGCTAGCTGAAGGTGTGAAATGGATCACCTCTGAAAATATGAAAATTTCTTTAAAATACATAATTCTTTGAATAGTGAGGGAGTTGTAGAGGGCTTCCATATGTTAGATAAACATCCCATGGCATACATGATCCTATAAACAATGATTATTATAATGATTAAGACAGCCATTCTAACTTGCAATAACGAGTGCAACGAAGAACCAACATGCTCTGGTAAAAAGTTAAAAATATCATAGAAAGAAGAAACAGTCATAATATATTGATTGTAACCCAGTAGCCTTCTGATGGATCTTTATAATACCTTACTTTACCTCCCTGGAGGTATTATTTTTCCAGGAGCAACAGGAGGTCTTAGCAACAGAATACTCCTCTTGGTTGAGCTAAAAAGAAATCTAGAGATATTCTGTTGTCTTACACTGCATTGGCAAGTGATTCTAAAGATTTTTGTTGGATGACCATTCCATCTGCAATATATTATCTTCAGTTTGAGCCATAGTAGCAGATAAATTAGAATAGATTTTAGAGTTGTAGTATATCATATGTAGTGACAAATGCTTATAGAAAAGCCTATCCTATCCAGGGTCTGTCAGCTAAAGAATTGTCTTTAAGTATAAGCTATCTTTTAGGCATGAAAAGGGATTTCACATCATTAGTCTGGTGTACACTTTCATTATATGTGTAGATATCTAAAGGAATTCCTAGGGTACATTGACCTGTCATATTCCAACTATCTAGGCAAGGTAATACCGAGGCATAGGGATAGTCATGTGGAGTTGGTTCTTCTAGTGCAGGATAATTCATTCCTTTACATAAAAAATCATACTCTTTTTGGTAGTATTGTTTGAGGTGGGTAATTTGATTGACCTCTTCAGGCCAATTTTCCATTAAAGAATGATTAAAAAATGGACAGTTGTTCCCCATGTTAACCAATTCCACTCATCAATACAAAAATGTGCTTTTGCCCTCTCCAACATGCTGTTACATTCACTGCATGGGCATTTTTCCAAAATCTAGGGGGTTCATCATGTGAAATCAAAAATTCACTTTGACAGGCAGAAGGATCCAAGCAGCTTCAGAACAATTCTTGTTAACAATTTTAAATTAACACAATGTACCTGAGTTTGGGTGTGCAGTCCAGGGGGATGCCAGTCTAACATGTATGGCTGGCTCAGTTAAAGGTGAGGTTGAAGTTGAAAGTAACACCAGGCAAAGGTTGTAATTTAATATGGGAGATGCTATTGGATCTGAATTTTCATGCACAGATTGTGGAGAGAGATGACAGATCAAACATTCATTTGAATTTTGATCATAGCTACTGATTAGGTTACTTTAACACATGCATTTTCTATCCAAGCATCACAGAAAATTGTTAGCAGGAAAAGAATAAGACTTAAATTGGTATTCATAGTGAACAAATTATTAGGAAGTAAAACCACAGGTATATAGTGAGGTTAATAGCATAAATATATCTACTGTTATAAAGCAAAGTCCACAAAATTTAGCAAGGTTCGTGGAATCTGGTTCCATGAGCTTGGGATCAGCTGTCTACCTCAGACATGCTTCTGGCCACTTGGGTATTTCAGAGTGATTTCAGATCTCCAGAGGGCTGGAAAGTCCATGAGGGGTTATTGCTTTCTTTACTTGAGACAAATGTATCCAACTATTAATTCCTTGTAGTTTTGCAGGATAGTAAGGAGGATTAGATATATTAGTTTTCAGCAAGATTATAGGGCATCTAGTCAGTTGCCAAGCGGCCTGCTTCTCTAGTGGTTCCCCCGCAGGCTCCGGTCCCAGTCCGAGGCACTGCCGCGCACTCCCGGTCTCCGCCTCCCGGAGCCTGGGCCCTCTTGTCGCCGAGGCGCCTCCGCCACAGCCGTGGCCTCCGCCGCCGCTTCCCGCGCGATCCCAGGCCGGGTTTGCAGCCGCTTCCTGGGCGCCAAGCAGCCGGTCAGGACCTGCGTCTCTCGGGGTGGAAAGAGGGGCGAGTTCCCGCCCACAATTTCCTACCGGAAACGGCTCCTCTTTGTTCTCTGGGCCCTTCAGGAGGGACTCTGTTGAGCGCTGCTGGTCGTTCCCAAATGGAGGTTCAGGGAGGATGTGACTGGTGTTTGGACCAAACGTTATTCTTCACCCTCCAGACGTCCTGGTGCCCTGCTTCCATTCCCATCCATCCTGCAGTGGTTGTTGGGTTTCCATGGCAAATTCTTTTAAACTTCCAGAAGGTGGAGAAGACATGGCATTGGAGCATTTTCTGTCCATTGCTAAAGGAACCACTTCCCCTCTCACCCTGTGTTGTGGGCTAGATGAAATCTCTGACTGTTCCTGGGTGGTGTTGGTGCTCTCCTGATGTCACTCATGAAGTCATGATGAAAAGATCCTCTGTGAAAGTATTGCCCATAGTCAGTGCGGGAAAACCTTCAGCTGTGTTCCCGATCTTGCTGTGGTACAGAGAAACCCTCCAGATGTCAATCCTTTTCAATCCCGTGTGTGGGGAACGGCCTTCATGGACGAGTCAGGACTTGAGTGTCACACCAGGTCGCACCCCACAGGCAATACCTGTCAGTGTACAGAATGTGGAGAAGCCTGCCGTTGTCCCTCTCAACAAACCACTCCTGTGAGAACTCTTAAAGGACAAAACCTGGACAAATGTAGTGTATTCAGGAAGGACTTTTGTATGCCAACCCTTCCGGTTCCTGTGACAACACCCATTGGTGAGAAACACTGTGAATATAACAAATGTGTGAAAGATTTCTATACTTTCTCGTCCATTTGGACAAATGTTAAAGGTCATGAAGTTGAGTGTGATGATTGTAAAATAATTACTGATCCATCATCGCTGATGTTTCATCCAAAGTTTCACAAGGCAGATAAGTGTTATGAAGGTAAGGAATGTTGGAAAGCATTTAGTTGGCCCTCACAGCTCTATTCGCATAAAAGAATGGTCACTGGAGAGAGGCTGTATGAATGTAAGGAATGTGGAAAAGCATTTAGACAGTTGTCACACCTCTCTACACATAAAAGAAGTCACAGTGGAGAGAGACCCTATCAATGTAAGGAATGTGGGAAAGCATTTAAGCAGCCCTCAAGCCTCCATACACATCAAAGAATTCATAGGGTAGGGAGACCCTATGAATGTAAGGAATGTGGAAAAGCATTTAGTTGGCTGTCCCACCTCTCTATCCATAAAAGAATCCACAGTGCAGAGAGGCCCTATGAATGTAAGGAATGTGGGAAAGCATTTAGTGTACTATCAAGCCTCTCTGTACATAAAAGAACTCACACTGGAGAGAGATCCTATGAATGTAAGGAATGTGGGAAAGCATTTAGTCAATCCTCAACCCTCTATAGATATAAAAGAATTCATAGTGGAGAGAGTCCCTATGAATGTAAGGAATGTGGGAAAGCATTTAAGCAGCCTTCAAGCCTCCATGCACATCAGAGAATTCACAGTGGAGGGAGGCCCTATGAATGTAAGGAATGTGGGAAAGCATTTAAGTAGCCCTCAACCCTCTATACACACAAAAGAATTCACAGTGGAGAGAGGCCCTATGAATATAAGGAATGTGGGAAAGCATTTAGTGTGCTTTCAGTCCTCTCTGTACATCAAAGAATTCACAGTGGAGAGAGGCCCTATGAATGTAAGGAATGTGGGAAAGCATTTAGTGTGCTTTCAGTCCTCTCTATACATAAAAGAATTCACAGTGGAGAGAGGCCCTATGAATGCAAGGAATGTGGGAAAGCATTTAAGCACAACTCAAGCCTCCATACACATGAAAGAATTCACAGTGGAGGGAGGCACTATGAATGTAAGGAATGTGGGAAAGCATTTAGTCAATTGTCACACCTCTCTATACATAAAAAAATGCATAGTGGATAGAGGCCCTATGAATGTAAGGAATGTGGGTAAGCATTTAGTCTGCTATCAAACCTCTCTGTACATAAAAGAATTCACAGTGGAGAGAGGCCCTATCAGTGTAAGGAATGTGGGAAAGAATTTAGTAGGTCCTCAACCCTCTATACACATAAAAGAATTCACAGTGGAGAGAGACCATATCAATGTAAGGAATGTGGGAAAGGCTTTACACAGGCATCGAAGCTCACCTCACCTATGGTATCTCACAGTGTAAAGAGTCCTTTGTATGTAAGTTATGTGGGAAAGACTTTGAGGATTCTTCACACACAACTCGACTACAAGAAGTCACACAGGAGTGAGAACTTATGCATGACATGTGAAAAAGAGTTAGCTCATTCATCCTGCCTTTCTGAACATATAAAAACTCACAGTGGCAGAAGCTTTATAAATGTAAGGTATGAAAACCTTTAGTCATTCTATAACCCTCTCAAAACAGAATCACTCACAAGAGAGAGAAGACTTATGAATGTAAGGAATGTGGGGAAACCTATGGTCGTGCCTGTTGCCACTCAGAACACATAAAAACACAGCATAAAGCTTTCTGAATGTAATCAGTGTGGGAAAACCTGTCAGGCCTCAAACATGATGTTTGTTATCTGTTCCGTGGAGAGAAATCTTTTTGCGTTCATTATACTGCACTTAACATAAAACTCAATTGGCTGTGACCTTAAGAGTGTTAGGAAGGTGGGAAGCTTTAGTAAATCACCATCACTCACTGAATATAGCAGAATTCACAGTGGAGCGAGGCCTTACAAATACAAGAATGCTGGAAAACCTGGAGTTGTTCCTCACCTCTAAGTCACCATTCAAAAGCACACATTGGAGTGGCTGCTCTTTGTCAAAGGTGGGATGATTTCTCCTTACGGTTCCCATTTCAAACAGGAAAGGTCTGAAATTCTGTCCTCAAAGAGCAAAGTTTGTCAGAAAATAAGTAATACGAACTCAATGAAAAAGTCATTAAAATTGGCTTGTGCCTTTGGGGTTATGTGTATTTTACTACAATACAACATTCTTCTGTAGTTGTAATTTTCTTACTCAAAGCTAAATTTCATCATTCTCAGATGTCTTTGGCTATTACAGGTAAGGGTGCAGGGAATAGCCTTAAGCAAGTGTGCTTTTATAATCACGTTTTTGTTGATGTCATTTTGCATAGAGTTCAATACACTGATCATGTATTTCATTTAAAACTATTGTTTTATTTTTAAATTTAACACATTCCCTTCCCTTCTTTCCTATTGTATAAGTAACAACCCTTGCACTTTGTGATTAATTTCTCAGAGGGTGATCCTTTGAGACTGCAAATATTCTCCTTTTCTTCATACTTTTCCTTCCTAAGTTTTCCATTCATTGATGAATACTACCTGTGGTTATTATTATTATGGTGTTTATTAAATGGTATTTTTCAAAAAAAAAAAAAAAAGATTATAGGGCATCTTTTAATTGATACCTTCTCCAATATACATAATCTCCCGGTGCAGTATTAGGTAAAGTTTGATTGTTCTGAATTCTGATTGTTAAAAGCTTCTTTTCTCTATGAGGAATACTCTCTAGAATACAGAATTAAATATTTTTATTTTTGTTTTTAGGTGCCATCAAGTCAGTTCCAGCTCATAGCAACCCTTTGTACATAAGGAGGAACACTGCCCAGTCCTGCACCATCCTCACGATCATTGCCATGCTTGAGCCCACTGATGCTAGTCAGTGTCCGTCCATCTTGCTGAAGGTCTTCTTTTTCGCTGACCTTCTACTTTACCAAGCATGATATTCTTCTCCAGGGTTTGGTTCCTTTCGACAACATGACCAAAGTATAAGAGACAAAGTCTGGTCGTTCTTACTTCTAAGGTACATTCCAGCTGTACTTCTTCCAAGACAGATTTGTTCATTCTTCTAGCAGTCCATGGTGCATTCAGTTTCCTTCACCATCACCACAACACAAATGCATCACTTCTTCTATTTTCTTTGTTCATTGTCCAGCTCTCACATGCATATGAGGCTATTGAAAAGCCCATGGCTTGGGTCAGGTGCCTCTTAGTCTTCAAGGTAACATCTTTGCTCTTTAACACTTTAAAGAGGTCACTTGCAGCAGATTTTCCCAGTGCAGTATGTCATCTGATTTCCTGACTGCTGCTTCCACAGCCATTGATTGTGGATTCAAGTAAAATGAAATCTTTCATAACTTCCATATTTTCTCCATGTAGCATGATATTGCTTATTGTTCCAGTTGTGAAGATATTTTTCTTGACGTGTAATCCATACTGGTGGTTCAAACCCACCAGCCACTATTTGGAAGGAAGGTTGGGCAATCTACTTCCATAGTGATACCACCTCAGAAACCCATGGAGGGGTTGCTGTGAATCAGATCTGACTTGACGGCAGTGAGTTTGGTTTTAATCCATACTGAAAGCTGTTGTCTCTGATCTGCATCAGTAAATACTTCAAGTAAATGCTTCCTCACTTTCAGCAAGCACAGAGCTGTCATCTGCATATTGTAGGTTGTTAATGATGCCATGGTCTTCTTCATATAGTCCAGCTTCTTGTATTGTTTGTTCAACATACAGATTGAATTAAGTATGGTAAAAGGGTACTGTCCTGACACACTTCTTTCCTGATTTCAAACCATGCAGTATCTGATTTTAAACCTTGTTCTGTTGGAATGACTGCCTCTTGGTCTATGTACAGCTTTCTCATGAGCACAATTAAGTTGTTCTGGAATCCCCATTTTTCACAATGTTATCCATAATTGGTTGTGATCCACACTATCAAATGCCTTTGCATAGTCAATAAAACAAAGGAAAATATCTTTCTGGTATTCTTTGCTTTCATTTAAGATTCATCTGACATCAGCGATGATACCCCTCATTCCAATCCAACTTGCATTTCTGGAATTTCCCTGTCAAAACACTTTACAACTGTTTTTGAATGATCTTCAGCAAAATTTTAGTTGCGTGTGATATTAATGATGTGGTTTGATAATTTCCACATTCTGTTGGATCATCTTTCTTTGGAATGAGCATAAATATGGATCTCTTCCAGTTGGTTGGGCAGGCAGCTGTCTTCCAAATTTCTTGGCATAAATGAGTGAATGCTTCCAGTGCTGCATCTGTTTATTGAAATGTCTCAGTAGGCATTCTGTCAATTCCTGGAGCCTTGATTTTTCCTAATTCCTTCAGTGCAGTTTTGACTTCTTCCTTCAGTACCATTGGTTCTTAATCATATGCTCTCTCCTGAAGTGATTGAATGTTGATCAGTTCTTTTTGGTACAGTGACTTTGTGTATTCCTTCCATTTTCCTTTGATGCGTCCTCCATTGTTCAATATTTTTCCCATAGAATCTTTCAATATTGCCACTGAAGGCTTGGATTGTTTTCTTCAGTTCTTTCAGCTTGAGAAATGCAGAGTGTGTTCTTGCATTTTGATTTTTTAAGTTCAGGTCTTTGCACACTTCATTATACTGTTTTAGTTTGTTTTCTTGAGCTGCCCTTTGAAATCTTCCCTTTAGCTCTTTTACTTTATCCCTCCTTGCATTTGCTTTAGCTACTCTCCATTCAAGGGTAAGTTTCAAAGTCTCTTTTGACATTGATTTTGCTCTTTT